TATATACATATATAATGTATAATAATGGAAATGTGACTGTATTTTACAAAATACTAGTCTACTAAAACACAGCAAAGACACAACTAAAGGTTAGTTTTATATTATTGAATACAGGAGCATGTGAACCTAGTCGTTGTAACTTCTGTATTGTTAGCCAGGCATGGCTGAAAGGTCAATATAATAAATATATATAAATGTATAATGTTATAAGCTATAAGCAACTTAGTCTAAACATTTATGTTTTTGTGTTATAATTTGTGGTCATTCTAGAATGAAAGAGGCATAATTTTATTTATGTCCTAATTTGTTATGGTGGTTACAAGATCAGTCAAATCTACTGAACCGGTACAGAGGTTAATTATTGAAAATAGCATATAAAAGATAAAGTTTTTTCTTAAGAAACGTTTGATAACTAACTGGACATTATAAAGATTTCACATTCGAAATTTTAAAATTTTCTGATGCATAAAAGTATTTTCAATCTTAAAATGAAAATTACTTTATATGTTGGATAGGCAATATGTAAAAAGAAAAAAAGAGCATGAGAAAAAGAAATCGCTTAACAAACCTTAAGATTTAATTTTAAAAAATTGATATTTTGTATATTATAATGTTTACTGATAATCTGCCAAAAAACTATAACATATAGCATGAAAACTATAACAAGCACAAAATGGTTACGAGGTCGGTCCCAGGGACCGAGTCCGTGCTGAAAGAGTTAAATAAGTCCTTTACCTTTTCAATGAGGGAAACTGTGGATTTTTTGGAAGCACCTGCTTAGCCCCAACTGTAAAAATAACTTACATAAGTGTCAAGAAACATGAATTAACAATTATTAATATTTTAAATATTTAGGTAAACAATTACAAGTTTTCACAATGTAATCTCTCAATAATTTTAGCTGAACATATTCTACCCAACAAAAAAAATTAATATTGATTATTACTATCCAAACACTTAAAAATGTAAAAAGTTACATTATTATATAAAAAAACATTAAGCCCTTTATTAATTGGCTGGATCCCTAGTATATAGTTTTTTAAACACTAGATTCTGATAGTTATCCACAAAGGTCCAATCAAGAAACAGAGTTTTGATATACTTGATGTGAATATCAACTTCATGATCAACCATAGTATTTAACAAGCTCATCTTTAACGTGCAAATTGTAAGAAAGTTAAATAACAGTGTTCACTCTTAAATTAAATTCTAGTCATGATCTCCTTCAAAAAGTAATGTTAACATTCCGTTTAAGCTGCAATATACCTTAAAATACTTTATAAACGTCTAAATACAGCAATCCTTACTAGCACATTACACTGAAACTAAAAATTGTAACTTATTTACACTTCAGTCACACTTGAGCTGCAACTAACTAAATGTATTACAACTATGTAAACATCTTCACAAAATTTGTATATCTAAAATGAATACAAAAATTATTTTATGCTGCATTAACACAGAAATAGATCTAACCATTGAATAAGACATGATGACATTATAATAAACTTTGAACAAAATAAGCCTTTACCTCAACCATTAAACTATTCAACATGAATTCTCAAATCTGGAGGTAAGTAGTTACTTCACAAATTGTATGGTATATTTGAGAAAAACCTATTTTCTTTCAGACAGATGAGCATTCACAAATAATAACATTTACTATCAACCATATTTTAATAGTACTTACAGTATTAATATGTTGTTCTTAAACAAATTAGAAATTTTCTCACAACTTGTTACTTACATGCTCCAATTATTTTTGCTTCAGTGCAGAATCACATACATACTTAAATGAGCAAAACCTGCATAATTAATTTAAGTATAATTGAATTATATCATCAAATGCTTACAATTCTAAACCCCATGATAAGTATCTACATTAAGAATAAAAGAACAATGTTTGAAATTCTTATTCTCAATGTCTTATGTTTGAAATTCCTTTAAAAACAGATATTTTAAATTTACAGTGGGAAAAATGGCATTTCATTATCACACAAATTTACATCACTAATCAAAACTTTGTTCAGTACCAAATCTTTCACTCAAAGACAGGCAACAACTTTAAATTGCTTTTTAACTTTTAGAAATGGTATTTATTTATACCAAGCCTTGGTCAATAATATGGATAACAGAAATCTGTACCTAAATGAGCACCCATTGGTGTTTGTTGTCCCCGACTAGTGGCCACATTGTGATTGCTTGGAGACATGAAGTCAGTTGAATGATTGCGTTTGTGTACTGCACTTGATGGAGACTGGGAAAGACCTGGATCAGAAGGAGTACGAGTGTGGCAAACGGTACCTGAAGCGAGACTAGGAGGAGGGGGAGCAGCTCTTTTCTTCATACTGCCATTAGAGTTCAATCCTGGAACTAACAAGAGTAATGAAAAAAGCCATCAATATTTCCACAATGAGCAACATAATTACTTTACAGTACACACGGTAATAGTTGTCTTTCATGTACAGCCGCATAACAAAACTTTGTATTTAAAAAATATCATCTACCATGTTTTTCAAAAAAAAAAACTTACACATTTTCAACTGTTTTATATAATTGTGATGACAAACTAGCTGGGTGTGTGCTATCCCAATACTTTTGGTAATATAGTACATGCATATCTTGATTTTATGTTAATTTATATTCATTCATTTCATACATACATACATTCATACATACATTTATTATTTATAAAGTTTCATTTTTGTACTGGCAGGAGGAATACATAATCTGCCTTTATGGCTAGGTTATTATTTTCAGGTTGTTTCATTATTTATGATCCAACTGAGGCTCCAGCAAAAGAGTTCAAAGCTTGCCAGAAATAAAAATATTAACCATTTCCAGCTCAGCACCTCAAGGTTTTACAGGTGGAAAATGACAATATCGAGTTTTTAAAAATTTTTTTATTATTTTAGATTGTTTGTTTTGAATTTCACTCAAAGCTACACGAGGGCTATCTGCGCTAGCCATCCCTAATTTAGCAGTGTAAGACTAGAGGGAAGGCAGCTAGTCATCACCACCCACCGCCAACTCTTGGGCTACTCTTGCAGCCTGTGTTATTATCATAAGTTTTGAACACTTAAATGCTCTGCCTTAGAGTTAAGTAATTTAAATTCAGAAGATTAGATATGTTTTGTTTTTTGGAGGAATGGGGCTCCCAAGACACTAAATCTAGCCTTGAGTCTACTCAGTAACAAATGTTACCTCCAGGAACCTATTAAATATAGTTATGTCATGATGCATGTATACCTGTTACAAATTCTAAAAGTACAAGTTTAATAGAACATAAATAATACATGATTTTTTTAGTTTGTGAATACTGGAAAGATTATTACCTCAGGGTCTTTAAAATATATGTAAAATACCATACATTTAAATATATATATATATATCAAAATAGAGAAAGATTAAACATTAGTTCTGGTTTTATTAACTCATTTTTTTTTATTAGGATTTAAACTTATATGTACTAACCCACAGGTTTTTTGTCTTTGGGGTGGGGGTGGTGGAGGCATGATACGTGGTGCAGGTACTGGACTTTGTTTTGGCCCCTCACATACCAGTGCAGATATTTTGGGTGGGGAGTCATTCCCTATAACACTGGAAGGTCGAGAATGACATCGTCTTTCAGGAGTAGTTTGGTTACCCTAATAGGAACAAATATTGGAAAAACTATTTTAGGAAAATACATACAAAAGTCTTGTGATAAAATTAAAACATTTGCAGATGCTCTGTATTTTTAAAAATAACAAACATTTCATTTCAAAGATATACTACAGACACACATAAAATATTTGCATATGTTGCACAGTGTTAGAAGTAATGACAAAATATCAAATTTCATAGATATATTACAGACCATACAAAAAATACAAATTATTAAGAAAAAGTTTTTACAAACAAATGTATTCCCAATTTTATGTTTTATAGTATAAAAATCCTACTGCTTTGACTGTTTAAACTCAATATCTCAAATTGGAAAGCAAAAAAAAACTATCTCTTAAAAAAGGAACAAATACTTATACCAAACATTTTTACTTTTTTGTCTTTCATAGCACTTTTCAATAGCTAAAAAAAACATTATTTACATTCATATTAAAACAAAATGTTGTTACAAATGACTAATTTCAAGGTTTTAAGGCATATAAACTAACAAACTACATGCACAAGAAATTATTAATCACTAGAGTGTAAAAAAATAAACAAACACAATCAAAATTATATTCATGTTTCATTTAAGTTATTACATCACATTACACAATTCATTCTCAGGCAACAGTACAGCAGGCTTGAAAAAATAAGTAACAAATTAAGAAAGCATAATACAAAAGCTAAAAGATTATTTTCATCAACAATATAGTGTAATAAAGTTCAATACAAAAAGGAAAAGCATATGGAAGTCCTTTCATGCTACTTACTTAAATCACTGTTGAAGAAATAATAAACACATAAAAAATATCACTAAAAATAAATCATTTGAGGATGGTGTTTTTTTTTGTTTTTTTTGGAAAGGGTTGTGGTTATGCAGGAAGAATCGATGTTAGTCGTAACCAACCAAACAAGTGACTCAGGGAAACACTGATACAAATATATTACCCAATTTGAAAGTGATGATTCATCCTTATATAATGCTATTTTGATTTATTCTATTGCTGCAAATTGCATGGGTTTTACTCCTTTCGTAATGAGAACTACAATCATTATTGAACAGCACATGCTATATTTTCTGCTGTAATCCAAAATTCCTGAAATGTAGCAGAAAATTTTTCATTCCAAGGGCTGAAAGGGAATCTATTAATATCTTTACCAATGGAGTGAGTATGACTCTTTCTCCAAAGTTTCTTTGTTCAAGTGCAGAAAGAGAGAATTTTCTGATGTAGTTGTCTAGCCTGCTTGTCCCATTAACCAAGTGTTTAAAAGAACCCGTGGTAAACAACTGATACTGAAACATATAAGACGATATCAGTGTAAAAGTAAAAATAATCCACATTTTTTTTTTTTATAACTATCAAGTGGCGATCTAATCAATGAATAAGAATAAAAACCCTTTCAGAAACATTCTCAATTCACATATTATCCTGAAAAATGAGAGATTAATTCTGATGATTAATTTAAACTTGCTTCTTTGTTTTCCAAGTTTATCCTTTTCACAAGTAATTTTAGTTTTAATGAAAGCATAATAATAATTCAGAGTATGGATGATTAACAGGGATCCTTTCTAACTTTACATTATCCTTTTATCCTTGTGTACCATTAAAATTTTTGCAACTCTCCATGTTCATGAAACAACTACTAAATGAAACAGTCAAACTTCTCAAAACATAAAAACATAATAAACCAAATATTTTTATACACTGACAGCAAACGTTTTGAATATTCAAATAATTGAAAAATTCGATTTACTTACTAAACTGATTAAAAAAAACTAAAATTACTAAACTACAAACTATTACTACCATGCATAAACACATTCACTGTTACTTTTCACTTAATGATTCAATATTTTATCATCAAGGACTTTTAACAATATTCATAAACTGGACATTTTCACATATACAGACAGGTTTTTCCATAACACTACACCCAATTTTCAGTGATTAAAACAATAAAAATTTTACTGTGAGGACAATCTACTCTTCTGTACAAAATATATTTTTATTGTCTTAATATTTTGGTTGCTAACCTTTTTCAACAGATTGTACTACATGGTAATAGCTCTGATATAAATATATCATGGCAATAAAAGCTCACATTTCCTGTAGTTAAAAAAAAAGGTTATCGCTATCCTTCAAATACATCCAAGCATCTCTATATATATCATCAACATGTTTTTTTAAAACATAAGAACATTAACTTTCATTTGTTGTAGATAATTTTTATGTATGTTTTTGGTAGAAAGTAACTGGAGTGGTATAATATAAGTCATAGCTCAGGAAAGACTGACTAAAGCACCAGCATATCTAAGTTCTGAAAATATGATTAAAGTTCAGTGGCAATAAATACCATACCTTAGCTTATTTCAACAATTCCGTTTAAAATTATATGAATATTAGTTAACTCATACAAGCTAATTACTTTATCAAATGAATGCACTTCCCTTCATTACAAAAAACAATTTCACCGCATATTTATAAATAAATATATACATACATTTCATATGAAAAAATTATATCACCAAAACAATATGCTTTACTTGACATAAAAAAGAAGGACTGTTTAGGTGTTAACCTTTTCATCAGCACCATCTTCATCACTTAGATCAGTAGAGCCATCTTCATGTGTTAAACGCCAATCGATGTTCACATTTTCAAACATAGTTTTCTTGTTTTGAAGAGCATGTTCAAGCTTTGAAAGAGGGAGAGAGAGAGAGAGAAACAGAAATTGCATATCAATATCTTCTGTCAATTATGACAAAACTAGAAAAAGCACATCCTTTAAATACTACAACATGTTCTAGTATACTATAAAATTATTAACTTCAAAATATAAGAAACTTCATTTAAAATATTTTATTATTCACAAAAAACACAATTATTAAACTGTTCTGAAAAATTGAATTAAACTATACAGATAGCATATTTATAAATAAGATCCAAAATTTACATAGAAGTAGTCTAATAACATATCTAATGTGAAACATTTTGGCATTAAAGTTAGAAAAAACAACAACTTTTACTGTTCAAATAATAGTAAAAACAACAGGGCTAGTAGTACAAGAATGTTTTGATATCAAAATAATATCAAATGTGATTATACTCATTTAATATTTTGTTGTTGTATCTTTAGTTTTTCTTGATTTCATCAAAATGTTTGTATTAAATGTACTTACCAGTTCTACACAAGTGTGAAATTTCTTTTCTCTGGCTATATCCAGTGGAGTTTTTCCTTCAGAGTTTTCTATCTGTGGATTGGCCCCACATCTCAAAAGTAGTTTCATACATTCAGTTTGGTTTTGTAAAGTGCTGACATGTAAGGGTGTATTGCCATGCTTGGTCTGTTTGTCTATACTGGTACTGTGAAAACAAATGTCAATATAGTTAATATACAACTTTGAAGGCTCAACAACTTTCAATGAGTTTATAAATGTTCAACCTTGATCTTTACATTTAATTTAAAAACACAATAAAACTTAAACTTGTTCTCTTAATAGAATTGTTAACTTTATGTATATCAAATACAACACATTTCTTTATACTCAAAACTACTCATTGTTTCTTTTCTGGTGAATAATTGTCATAAAAAATCAATATACATACTGAAAAATAATTTTATTAATCAGTACTATGACTCTTGAAAAAATTAACAAGATGTGACAACTGTGCCAAATGCAATGACTACTATATGATTAATTAACTACTATGACAAAGGAAGCATACAAGTCAGTATAAATGACACCAAAACATCAATATTTCCATGGAAAAATGCTTCAAAATTACACTACTCTTATTACAAAACCTTGCCATTCAGAAACCTTTGTGATAACTGAAAGAGAGTTTTCTTTTTTTTATTATATTTTTTATGAAATAAGCAGTGTTTTAAAATAGAAACCTAATGGTTATGTTTCATTACAACTCATGTACTTTAAAAGTAGTAAAAACAAATGCTTATTTGCTAAATGACAACAAAAGTCCATTTGAAACCCAAGATATCACTTATGTTCATGTAACTTACTTTTCATTTCTAGTGTGAAACTTCTTGTAAGTTAACATTTGGCACATTTTTAAAGCAGCTTAAGTCTCATCCTTTTCCATCTTAAATCAAATATACTCTAGATCTGTATATTAACTTGGAACTTAAGACATGCCTAAAGAAACGTGTCAGCTCACTTTAGGATAAGGGGTGTTTAGTCAAAAGTTGTTAAATAATTAAGTGCAAAAAAAGTTAATTATAACAGAAATTGGAAAATGTGACGGGGGTTATAATGTTTTACCACTGATATTGATAAAACAATATCTGTATATACATCTTCCATGTTTTTGTGCAAAGTAGGTGACAGGTCATACATTTTTTTAAATTTTTTTATGTCTATAGATCCATAGATTTATATTACAGTTGATGTAGTATTAAACAGGAATGAAGATCCAGTTATCTTTGTTTTAGTATTTGGTATGACTTCCTGTGTAAGGTCAATCAATAAGATATTTAAACAGAGGAGAATGCAATGTATTATACATGTATAATTATTAAAACTGTTTAGTAGACAACGAATATGTGAGAGGTGAATGGTCTGGAAAAATAATCCAGGATTCCAACTTCAACCCTTCAACAAACAAACAAATGTAAAAACTCTATCTTACTTAGTTCTCAGTTCATTACTATTCATTAAATTGTGTCCGACACTCATTTACCCTTTTCTCTCTTTTGAATTCTAGGTTCTGTAAGCAAAGTGCACAAAATCTAAGAAAAATAAAACAGAATTCAAACCCTGACAATTCAAAACTGAACACTTTAATTTTAAACAATAGTCTCTAGTATTTTCATTCTTGTTTACTAACAATGGTCATCCAATTCAGTAAACTTTATCCATAGACATTTGAATTTTATAATACAAGTTATACTGCAGTCTATCTCAATGATTCCCAACCTTTGTGATTGAAGTACCTTTAAACTGACCCTTCTACATCCAAGTACTCTACTTTGTACCACTAATAGTAGGCTTAAAAACAATTTATATTATCTCTAACATTGTTCTGCTCACTCACATTCACCTCTGTGTTTATGTTTTGCTTTTTATACTAGATGTTAAAAATAGTTTCAGTTTTTCATGACAGTTAATGAATGTCAAAAATATTTTCAATTTTTCAGTTTTTCATGATAGTTAATGAATGTCAAAAATAGTTTCAATTTTTCAGTTTTTCATGACAGTTAATGAACGTCAAAAATAGTTTCAGTTTTTCATGACAGTTAATGAAGTGACTTAGAGAATGACTTTCTACAACTTTAAAAATAAAATATCTGACTTTTCAGAATTTTTTCAGTGACCATATAAATCCTGCAAGGATCACAGTCCAATTATAGTGAATGTAAACAGACTACAACCAACTGCAAAAATAAAAAATGCATTTCAAATCAAGATTGACATGAGACCTTGAGCAATCCAATCACTAGTCATTCCATTTCCTGTTTTAAATATTGGAATAGTGGTTCAAACAGGAAGTGTAATGAAAGTAAAGTAAGAACTATCATTGTTATCTTAAACATTCAGTATAAGTTAAAAACTGATTAATACATAAAACACACAATCCAACAGGTCCAATGCTATTAGTTTAAAATAGCAACTCTGGAACAGCAGGTATTTTGTTTGGAGCATGAAGTTTAGAACCAAAAACTGCCAAAAAAAAACGAATTTGAATGTGGACATATATCTTATCACATAGTGTAAAATATATATATATATATATACAAACAAAAATGACTTTAGACAAAAAATATCATTAAAAGCATGTGTTTGATGGCAAACATTTTTCACATTCAAATTCATGCTGTTTAAATTTTGGTCATCATCTATAATGATATTTGAACACAGAATTTACATTATGGTAAATGTTTTGATATAAAACAGCTGACCTTATGTATTATAGAACACTTTTTAATCCAACATAATCTTCAAATTTCAAAAACTTGCCTTTTATGTAGCTGGCTGTACATAAATGTTCATACTGTTTTATTAGTAAATGCAATAGATTATCATGTGTAATAAAATCAAACCATTTGGTGAAATGACTATATAATCAAGCAGTTTCATGAAGGATAAGTTTACCCAGTTTTACTAATAAGAGATACAAGCACAACCCTAATGAAGTGACTGAACAACTTATGGACTTTAATAAGTACCTGATACTTGACTTTATAATAGTTACTGATCCTTAACAGACACTTAAAACAAGCATGGAATGATAAAAAAAAAGGGATTTCAATACATTTCACATCATGCTTTAAATAATCATTATTTCCTTCAGCTTTGCATCTGGTTCCTTCAACATCAACATTGCTGATCAGATTTCAAACCTCAGTCTCCTGTCACCATTATTTACATTTTTGTATATTTTTAAAACATTTTAGCATTTCTGTAACTATAATGGCTCTATTCTTTTTATGTTATCTGTATCACAATAATGCCTCTCACCTATTTTGTACAAGAAAATCAACTACATGGAGAGATGTTCCATCTTCCTGAGTAACAGCAACATGTAGACTAGTTTCACCTGTTTTCTGAAACATTACAAGATGAGAAGCAATAATGTCATCTATTTTGTAAAACATTTATCCATGTTTAGCTAATAATTCTGGTAAATTTTACAATATAACTAGCTGAAGAATAAACGCTACATGCAAAGTGACAAAAACATAACTACAAAAAGTTATAAAAAATTATCAGCTAAAACATTTGAAAAGAGTGAAGAAAATCAATCTAAAGGAAGGTTTTAGATGAGTGGAAAATTTCCTAGATATTCTTGATTATTCACAAGGTAAACTTGTAACAAGTGTGTAAAAAAACCTATCTATAAACCAGCTTTCCTACACTGAGTTATATCACCTTATTTATACAAAAAAAAACAGCAATCATAGGACTAGTACTTTAGATCAATCATATTTGTAAGTACAAAGAAAGGAAACTTAAAGAACTGATTGATTTACAACATATGCTCAGACTGAATGGTTACTTAAACGGTTATATTTTGGATACAGCTAAGAGGATTATATATAATGAAAAGAAGTAACACTACTTTTAAACAGGATGACAATTGTAAGTTTTTGTCTTGGGCTATCTTTACAGAAGGAACAGACTTAACAGACTTACAATTAGCTGTCTAACAGCGAAGCTTACTTATAAAAACTGTACGAAGATTGGATAGGCTACTTAAGCAAGATTTAATATGATTTGTATTAAAGATATGGGAGCAGGGGATAAATGCATAGCATGTAATGTAATTTACAAAGTAACTTGTAAAATATGTAATGTATTTTAAACTGGTGAAACATCTCTTATATTACATGATAGACTTGTTGACATGCAAGGGCCTTGAATCAGATGAATAAAAGAATGAGTGTGATAACTGATCATTACTTAGAAAAATATGTCAGACAAATATCAGACTACTCTTTACAAATAGATATTATGGGTACAGCTAATGTTTTTCTTGATCTTAAACACAAAGCTTCACTAAGTTCAAAATTCAAGCCACAAATCAATTGAGATAATGGATAGGCAATATGATATAATAATATTTATTCTGTGTTTCCATGTTTATGTTACAAATATTTCATTTTTTTACGTCTAATATACAAATATTAAGTTTTATATTCTTATTGATGATGTATATATATATATATATTTGTTTCTATTTTGTATTCTTGATCATCATCAATGTAAGTATTACTGCACACATGATCTCATCTTCTAGTTTTACAAAGTTATATAGAGTAAATTTAAAGTTTAAGGCTTGTTACAGTCATTGCAAGTAAACCAGTTTAAGTAGAAGGTTATTCCTGAAGACGTACAACTAAAAAATAAAATTACCGAAATTTGAAAAACTTGATCTTGAGTTTATGGTCATTTTCTTCAAAGTATAACAAAAGAATTTTCAGAGAAAAAAATTAAATATATGTGTTATAATAATAATAATAAAGAAATAATAGTAATATATCATCAATAGGGTGGTAAACTATTTTTAAAATGTCAAGTATTTGTAGTAACAAAAGTAATTAGAGTATCAATGATGACTTTTTAAAAGTTAAAACATTAAATGATAATTTGTTGGAAAAAATAATACTTAATAAATGAAATTCTGAATTGTTTCAAAACTTTTGCAAATAATACAGGACCATGATTGAGTGTATTTGATTCAAATGTTAAAAAATCTCTCAAGATAATGAAAGGCACTTATTTTCATACTAGTATTAGAGGATTTTTCCAAGTAATCGGAATAAGGCTAAAATATGTCCTTTATTCAATAAAGTTGTTGACAATGTGCCTAATAATTACCAATTAATTTCTCTACTTGACACAATGAATACACCATTTAATAAAAATAGAAATAATAAACTGAATAACTGGGCTGAAAGAATATTTTTTAAACAGTAGAAATGGATATGGTATATACCAAGTTTGCAGAGTATATTAAAAACTGCATGTGTAAGATAGAAAAGGCTGATTATCAGTAGTTCTTATATATTTTACTGGAGCATTTGACAGCTTTTCCTCATTAATCTTTTTCTGTATAAATTAGACAACTAACATTGTATGTTACAAAATTATAAATATAGTAAAAACATCCATAATCCAAAGTGAAATCTAATATAAAATACTTGAATGAAAAGAACTAACCTATTATTTTAATTGTAATATAATTAATAGCCAGAGTCATATGATTACACGTGCCATTTAATTTTGCTTCATATATAATTGACTTGATTATTAAGATTGAATAAAAATGTTCAAGGTGTATTTATGAACGAGTTCAGAGAACTCACTGTTATATGCTGATTGTTTTTATTAGAAAATTAATAGAAATTATATAAAAAATTGCTAAATGTATTAAGAGTATTTTATGAAATGTTTCATTTTAAAAATGAATATGAAAATCTCAAAGAATGTAATATTTAGAAGAAAACGAGTTGTTAAGTTAGTCAAAAATTGTATTTTAATTCAGCAAACAGTATCCAGGCACATGTGCTTAGGTGTGTACTTATCAGCAACTTATCATAATATGTAGCTATTAAAGTTCTCTCACTACTAGCTGAAAATGTTTGTGCTTATGTATGTAAAATATATCATAAAATTAATGTTCTATAAAACAAATCTGTTAATACAGTAGCAGAAACACTATTATATGAAGCTGCCTTGAAGAAACAGATTATTAAGTAATTCAAAAAATACAGATATCTGTTTGTAAGTTATCTAGGAGTGAGTAAAACTGCAATTGAAGAACAAGAAAGATTACATGCTGCAATCAGGTATAGAATGAACTGCATCATATATTAATTAAAGGTACTAAAAAATGACTTTCTTCAAATTGGTCAGGTACTACTACAATTCAATGAAAGTTTGAAATTAAATTGTGAGAGTTAACTGAGGTACAAAAATTAAGAATATATTTTTCACATGCGATTATGGAATTGTAGGGTTAAGAAAAGATATAGGTAATGAGTAGTTTCTTGTAGATCTTTTATTAAAGATTAACCAATACGTATTCTCAAGAATTGTATAAGAAGCTAAAAAAAAGAATCCAAAAACTTTTAATGTAAATGGAAGGGATTTCATGATCTATATTAACAATAAGATGATGAGTACCTAAAACAGCCCCTTCTTCCACCACTGATGGTATTTTATGTGGTGGCCCTGATTGTGGACTATTACTATGCAATGCAATTTCCACTTCAAAAAATGTTCTTATACAACAACAATGAGGTCAATGTTGTCCCCCCTTCCTCTTTACATGCCTTATAAAATTCATCAAATTTGCACATATGATGATTTCTTAAAACTTGTTTGAGCAATCCAAGGCACAAAGTTCAAGGGGTATGTCTGCAAATAGTATAGAATACATTCCCATTTATACTTGTACAGTCCAGCCCCATTTATCCAGTCAGCTGTGGGTCTAAACAAAATAATGGCTGCATAGTGGGGTGGCTGTATTACCAGGTGTCACTGTGTGGGGTCAACTCTTGGATGAGACTGAGGCCACAGTACATACCCCAACAACTTGCCCATAATATTCACCTTTCTATGTTCCTGTTTGATAGAGAATGTTGTAATAACATTTGGCTGAGAAAGCAGAGCTCTATTTATTGCAAAATGGAGGGAAAAGTGACAAAACTTGAAATGAATGTGCAAATTTTCCCCTTTGAACAAATCTTTTATTCACAAGAAGACCAAAGAGTCATTGAACTGGAAGTGTTACAAATGACAAAGTTTAAAGGAGTTGTGAAAACACTGTTTGTTTCATCATGTACGTGTGATTGTGCAATCATCAGTGTAGCATGAGGTGTGAAGCATTAGGTAGGATTAGCGTGCCATTAAGAGGGAACATCAATGATCAATCATCTGGTTTGTAACATCTACAAAATGTGGTCACTATCAGTCGATGTACGGTAGTGGCCTCACTTTGACTGACAGGTCTCAATTGGGCAGGGGCAGGTGAGAGCAAGCTTGGGTAGCCACAATACTGAGTTCAAAAAGACCGCTTGATAGAGGGAAACAGGTGACCACAAGTCAAGTTGACCGCAATACAAGTGCCCATAATAGCAGATGTTTCACAAATATGAAATAGAAGGAAATATTTGGGACTGAGCCAAAATGGCTGTAATTAATGGTTGACCACTACATCATGTTGACTGGTATGCAGGTCTGGACTGTATTTTGTAGAAAAACTGCCATGTTGACTTGAATGTGTAGTTTTATGCTTTATCTTGATGGAGCCATACTTCACTGGCATCCAATCCATATAAAGGTGGTATTTCTTCATATTATAGTAGTGTCAGCATGTTAACCTGACAGAATAAGAGTACAAACAAGAACTCTTGTAGCTTTTGTAAACATAAATCAATGTAAATTGTCTTTACATTTAAATGGAGGTTCCTAATTAAAATGCAATGGACTGCTGTGTCATAGTGATATTTCTAGCAACACTGTTTAACCTTCTTCAATTATTCCCAGTGTGTGAATGGAAGTCAGTTGTGAAGTAGACTGTTTTTACCTGATATAATAATTTTTTCCTTTGGTTTAGTAATAATGTTCAAAACTACTGACATCCCTTTCTTCAGAATACTAAACTTAATTGCTTCTATATTTGTGTTATAGAAGAACTTTATGTTTGAAAGACCTATAATGTAACCCTCACAGAAAGAATCAGTTTTAATTAAGCACCATCTGCACTAGTAAATCACCACACAAGTGAATTGCACAAAGAATGTTAGAGCTTTTGACCTGTGTAGTTACAGGCCATGGAGATTTTTGAGAGAGAAAGGTTTTTTGGAAATGCAAACTGTTACTACAAATCATGAACAACTCTTTAGAGAAAAGTAAAATATGTACTTGAACCTGAAAAATATATATCATAAATATTTCTAAACATAAAATTCCTGCAATAAAAAAAAATTATCATCATAATTTGGAAATAAAACTAGAAGGCATATAGAGAATTAGACAAGCAAAATACATTTTGCTCTTACCGCTTGGATAATAAAATTTTTGTTATTATACAAAATAAGTATTATATATTACTATGTTTATCCTCTATTTCGTGAATTATACCTATGAACTGTTCCAATGTTTTTCCAATTAAAGAAGAATTAATTATTCAATTAATAGAAGCACAATTTACACTTTTCCTGGATAAGACTGTCTTGGTATTAATAAGGATATAAAGAACAAATATTAACAAAGACCTTTCTCAGTAATGCATAAAATATATGAGTAATGGGCTTTAATAAGGTCTGGACCATTTGAATAATAAAATAACCAGAATCTGTAATGACTAAAGTAAATACAAAATAACTAAAACATCTGAGATTTCAGAACCAAAATTCCCATAACATACTAGGTTCTGTGAAAAAAATTTACAAAAACAATCTGTAATGTATAAACTCAAAATCATTTTTGTAAATGCCCATAGTATATTATAAAATATAGCAAATACTTAATGTCAGGCTACTTACTTTTTATCTAGTATATATTACAGTAAGTATATGGGTGTGTGTGTGTGTTGTTATTGGGATTAGGATTCTTCTACAGTAGGTGTCTGTGACTTGTTTGTGATAAATTCAAAAATAAATTAACAGCATGTACTCCACTTGCTTTCAAAATATTATATATATATATATATATATATAGTTAAACATATGTACAACAAATTCTTCACACTATAGAGATCATAGGCATATCATAAACACTATATATATAGTTCTCTTCTTCATAACAATCATAAAATATTAACTCACAAAAGTAATTAATTAATACCACCTATGCTAAACAGTCTTTTATATCATGACACTTAAGTAAATGTAAAATAATTTAAAACAATAATCAAAATAATATTTAAAAACCTGAAAGAACTAATACAAATGATGGAATTAAAACTTATCAAAAATGTAACTTTTCAAACATATTATAAAGGCAAATTCTAAAATGCCAGCTTTAACAAACATTTCAAATACTATGCAACCATTTGCTTAAGACAACTTACACTATTTGGAAGCACCCATGTGAGGTCAGCTCCTTCCACAAATGCCTGAAGAAGCTGATACAAATGTCTTGATGTGACAGCAATTTCAAGATCATTTCTAAGATCTTTTTCGTCTGTACATGTCCTAATGGCAAACTTCTTTTCTACATACTTTGCTCGAATAAAGTCACACCTTTCTTCCCTAACATAATGTTTAATAAATAAAAATCTTAACACTTATACAATGTAATTAACTTTTATCTCATTCCAAGATTCAAAGTTTAACTTATGACATGTAGTACAGGCTTTCTATTTTTTCACACCAACATTCATCATGCTTTACAAAGTATAAGGACTGAATAATAGCCAGTTTGTCACCATTCCATAATTGTTTTTCAGGAGTTAAGGTACTGACTTCACTTAACACTAGGAAATAGTCAAGGTTTTATCACTTTTTCACATGTTAAATTTTCAATTTCTTTTATACCTCAAATGCCTGTCATTTTTACCATCTCATTAAGTTACAATGTGTTTCAAGTTTGAATATTTCAGTATAGAATTACAAGTTAAAATAGTTCATGTGAGCTTACACACAATAAATTTTATTAACATCTGAAAAAAAAAAAAAATTAAAACCTACTATGAAGAAGATAACATTTCTGTTCATTGAAGATATTGAGTTACATATAGAAGTTATAATGCAACTTTTAAACACTCAATCTTTAAGCACTTTTCTTTGATCATGTAATAATTACAAAAATGTGCATTATACATATAGATATAATGGGAGGGGCAAATGTTATTATACTCTTGGTAGAGTTGTCATTACATGGCTAACACTAAAGAAAATATTATGAAAAAAATCAATGCCAATTTAATTATTCTTTGCTTTGGTAATAGTTAAAAATTAAACTATATTCTAAATGAAACAGTTGGATTAGTCACTTTTGCCCCACCTTGTATATTTTTTACTTTTGTTTTATGATTTTAAAAACCTGTAAAAAATTAATCCAGTATTCCATTTTTTTTATTAAAGTTTTGTTTAAAATAAATATGAATTATTTTATATCCATAAAACACAGTAGGCTTACAAATAATTGAAACATATACAAAACCTTGATAAGAACAGCATTTCCTAAATACTTAGCTTTAACTAATTCACCATGGTTGGTACATATATGATCTCTAAATTTTTTTTCTGTTCATTGTGGCTGATATACATATGGATTCTTACTTTTAAAATTCCTACACGAGGTGTTGGATTGTAGATTTTTGAGGTAATGTTGTCCATCTACATTCTGCTATATACTGCCACACAGTAAGTCAATTATTTCTACTTTCTATGTGTCAGTTTCCCTCAAGATGTCAGAGAAGCTTGTTCAACATCATTTCCCCTCCTGCAGCAGCAAGTGTTAATGAAGCAGGGGAAAATCCAGATTATTTTATGGATTTACTAGATAACATTGACTCTTATGAGTTGATTCAGTGAACACACACACACACACAAAAATTATGAGGCCACATATGTACCAGCCACAGCAAACAGGTTAAAAACTCAACAAAAATATAAAACTTTGTGCAATCCTTATGTGTTAAGTTTAAAACTATCATGATACATATTCATATAAAAGTACTAATTAAAAATATACCTATAGTTATAAAATTTGGAGCACAAAAAATAATCTTACATTGAACTATCAGAAGAAGGCTTTCTGACATGATTTAGTGTTGCTTCCATCACATCATTAAACCCTGCATTACTCATTACCCTGGCTAGCTGCAAGTTAAAATAAAATTTACAAGTTAAACATATGAAAAAAATTACTATCATATATATATACAAATAAATATTAATTTTATTACATTGTTAAAAAAAAAGAATATTTCTGTGCCAAAAGTCAGTTTCTTACAATTTGTCTATATGATGCTTCTTTTTTCACAAAAGAAATTGGTCTGTGCTCAGTTCTGTTTAAATAGTACATATTGTTAAGTCTTCTAACATATTTCAAAGTAAAAATATTTCATCTGATTGGTTTCATTTAGCACTTATTTGTTACTCGTTACAAAATACAATGTTCCTTGATATTAAATGACAATGTGATTTTTTTCCCTTTAATTGATAACAATTTGTAATAAAAACAACAGTATATACAGCTTTACTTTGTACTGTTTGTGAAAATAATTGCATCAAAACAGGAAAAAAAATGCAGTAAATCCTTAGACAAAAAGAAAATACATACATACACAGCCTAACAACAAGCAGACATCCCCCAATAATACAGATTGATTAATCCCATGACGTCACGCCACGCCATGAATAAAAGGATCCTAACCATATTTTCATGAGATTGCATAAATGGACAATGATAGAAAGGCCAATGTCAGCATGAAATCACAAATTAGATTACAATACTCTGTCCATAGTTTAAAGTAATGGTGCAGTTCCATTCATGTCAGAAAACAAATACCTTCTACACAACCCAAATGCACCAGAACAAGTTTTTTTGTACATTGATGAGAAGTTTGGAGAATAACCCATGACAAATGCCCATTACTGTTACAGAACAGATGCAAATATGCTCCAATGCCTTCAGAACATATCTTTAAAGCTAGTGTCCACTCCAGGAAATATCATACATCAACAGCAGTGGGATCTATTGATGCTATAATGCTCGTCATATATTTTAAGACCTGAAATGGGTATTGTCAAGTACCACTCTTGGCACATATACATCAATGAAAATTAACCTTAGGAAAGGAGAAACATATATAAATTTAACATTTTCAAACTTTTTATAAACAAATGATTTACCAAAATAAGTATTAAAATTATCTATGTTTTTGTTTTTTTTTGCCAATTTAAGCACAAGTTACGAATCGTCACAGGACCATGTCTTTGTGGTGTCAATTTGTTTACTTTGACATGTTTGTGCCACGTCAATTTTTACTTATTGCCTCAAGAATGTGAATGTTTTACTCATAAATATTGCAGCCTAAACAAAGAAATATGAAAGGCGTGTAAACTTGTAACAACTTTGTTTTGGGGGTATATCTATGTGGTTTATGGCACTAAATTTTTAGATGATCCCTAAATTAGAATATAATTTAAGTTTCCCAAGCATTCTCCAGAAACACTGACAACAGAAATGGTTTCAACATGCTTACTATAACATTGAAGCCAAGCTATTAAGCTATCATTGTAAGATATAACTGACAATACAACCATCAATACACTAATACTTTAAGCATTATATTACAAGAGTAAGTTGGAGACTTACCTCAGAACTACTTGTGTTAAGTCAACACACTGTTGGCCTGGGTGGCAAGTCATGAATACATACACAAGTTTATCGACATCTAATTATGGCATTTTCTAATTAGACAGACTGATGATGTACAATGTGAAATCTGTCAATGGTACACAATGTTACAATCTAACCTAAACAATATGTCAGCAACCAGTGAGTAGAAGAACTGATGTCAGTAAGCAACAGAATACAACACTGTAGATTCTTAGATTTTTAATGATTTTTATATTCCCCAATCCTATGCAGATTTCCTGAATATTTCCAAGAAATTGTTAAGTGAAATTCCTGATCATTTTCAAATTTCAATAATGCATGGAAACTCTGGGCTTATGCTCATTCAATTCAAGTCACAAATAAATGGCTTGAAGATCATGACATTTCCACTCTTCCTTTACCAAGCAAGCCACTAGATATAAATACTATCAAACATGTGTGGTCCATCATTGATTGTTCTCTGCAAGAGCATCCAAAATAACCAACTTCTGGAGAACATCCCATACAAGTTTTTCACTAAGAGTAAAGTGCAATTCCAAAGGCCCAGATTTCATATCTTGTAAGTATGATGTATTACTGTGTTTCTATCTTAACCTTGTGTGTACAGCTGGGGGTTAAAGAGTGCATGTCACAACTTTTACAGAGTGTATTTCAACATGGTATTATATATCTGATTTCAGAATTATCAGCTATTCATTTTACATCACATTGCTGATTCAGCAACAGTTCATGGTAGAAGAGAGTAAATACCATATACAATATAAAGTGATATGAAAAAACTGTTGATATACATTTCAGAGGTTCCAAAGGTTATTGAAATGCAATATGCAAATTGTATGATAGACAGAAGAATTATAATTTTCAGATGAACATCACCTTGCACTCCAACTTGTCAGAGTCTGAGTCTGACTGGTTTTGGCAATTCACAGACATATCTTGGGTACAAATATATTTGTAACAACATCTGATTTTTTGGTGTACAACACACTTGCACATTTGACAAAAAGCTTACAACACTTTGTGCAGAAAACATAGTAAATTCTGAACTATAGTCAACATTCCTTCTCCAATGTGAGACTGGTCCAATGAACCAACCCTATAAAAATTTGTTAACTACTGCAAAGGCAAAATCCACTAAATATAATGGCAATCTTGTACCTTTTGTTTCAAATTTGTTTAGTAAATATATTGCATTTTTTCTAAAGTGGGTGTCTATTTACTTATTGGTAGGCTGTATATAACTTCTTCAAAAAAAAACATATTTACCATAATTTTTCAATTATCTATTGTTGTTGTTTGTAATACTAGGTTTACATTTTATTACACCCTCAGCAGTTGAAAGTGTTAAGTAAACTAAACAATCAGTTATATAACACATATTTGGGAGCCACATTAAAATGTTGTCAACACGAATAACTGATACACGAGTTCTCTCATAATACCTACTGAATCATTGCACACTAGAAACTTAAGGCTACAATTGCAATAACATAATAATATTAATATAATAATATCATAATAATGTTAGTTTCTGTGAGCTGGTGTAATGCTTTGGGATTTTTTTATCACTTGAATCCAAGTACAAAGCAGTTTAACAAATAATAGCAAATTAGGTATATAATTTCATAATTACCTAAAATATTTTTATTTTTGAAATAAACATAACCAAAAGATAAAACTAACGGCTCTACAGTACTTATTAAATTAAAACAAATAAACTCAGAAAATACAAAACATAACCTCAAATCATAAAAAAACAAACCTAATTACAGAAAATAAAGCACACATACAAATATTAAATTCCAAAACAAGTATTTTTCAAACCACTGTTATCATGTAAGTGGACTAGTTGCTTTTAGTAAGTGATACCACACACAAAGCATATGCAAAGGTTGCTGGAAAAACTGTTCTAGTCAATCAAACATTTTACTTCAACAGATTGAAACTTAGAATTGTTGAAGATTTTTATCAAGAATAAATAGACAAATTCAAAAATGTGTTTTATTCCAAATAACCCTTAAAAAGAAAGTGTTTTATATTAAATGGAACAAAACATCAATAGATTTTAAAGCAAGAAACCTTTATACAATAAAACATTTTAAGGACACATACAAAGGAACATTTAGAGCTCAGTTCAATGAACTTAGCTCATATCTATCAGAACTTCACTATAACATGTGACAATGCAGGTTTTGATCCTATGTAATATAGAAGACATAAAAATATTATACATTAAAAATCCATCTACCACTAAATTATCATATATTAATATTCACATTACTCACCAACAGCTGAGATGTTCCTATGTTATCAAGTGTCAGTGACTGAATTCTTGAAATGTGAACTCCTAGATCCCGATGAATTCCTGAGCATTCAATACACGTAAGAATCCCAAAATTTGTGGATAACCATGTTGGATCTAAAAAAAGAAAAACATTATGATGTTTTTGTGATGTTGAACAAAGAAAATCATAACAGTTCCCATAATTGCAGCTACTTGCTAAATCTAGAAGCTTTATTTGTTTGTTTTAGCACAAGGCTCATAATTGGAATCAAACCCTAAATTTCAGTGTTTGAAATTATTGATTTCAAGTTATTGGTTTTAAAAACTGTTTGGAAACACTATAAAAAATAATTTTCATATTCCACCTCTACCCAAAAGCAAAATAGTTGAGTAAAAGGAGAAAAAAAATAATCGGTAAAATACTATATTAGTCAGTAAATTTTAAGTAAATAAAGGTACAGAAAATATTTTAAATATTTCTTGGATCATTTAATTGCAATCAAACTCCAACTTTCAGTGTTTTAAGTTCATAAACTTACCACTGATACATTGGAAGTTAAATTAAGATGTTTTTGGAAGAAAAGACATATCGCATATTACCTATTCTTTAACACAAATGTTTTATTGTTTCTTTTAGCAATATAAACAGACACACAAACACACACATGTATATATATATACACATAGATGCACACACACTTTAACCACATTTTACTTAGCACAATGTACATTGACAAATCACTGATTCAAATCCAGAAAAAACTATTTTAATGAGTATGTTTCCTTCTTCATCAAGACAATGTAATTAAATATTTTTCTAATTTATCGTTTATTCGTACACCTCAGACAAAATTTACATGTTTATCATTTACAGAATCTATATTTGACTTAAAATGTCATTATATATATATGTACATTCTTCCTGAAATGGCTCAACGCCTAATTACATACCTTTTGTTGAATTACAGTCACAGCACCGATCATTGCCTGGCAGTCGCTGTATTTGTCGAATAATACTCTGTTGAAGTTCTAAAAGACTATGATTTAATTTGTCTCCATTTGGCTGCCCAGAGTCATCAAAAGCTTTCCGTAGTGCTCCCTCTTTACAATTAACCAAAACTGACATCCAACTATAGGAAAAAAATATATAGAACAGATCAGTTGTTTTAGCTTATCATCCAATTTGAGTCATTTCTAAGCATTTTTACTCATGCTTTGCTGGTAATCCTAAATGGACAGTTTTAAATTCAAAATAGTTCCTTCACAATTACTCAATTTCAGACCTACTTTTGCATTTCATATAGATTCTCAGGAGATAACATTTACTATTACTCTTTTCACTGACATATAATAAATACTATATGTTTAAGGTATATTTCAAAACCTTAATTTCAACTTACGCATCCATTTCAACATCATCTTCGGCTTGAAAGTGGTATGTTCTGTTATCTGTTTTAGAATAATATTTTTAGTTTATAATGTTCTTCAATAAAAATTTGTAAATTCAGAAACAGTAATTTTCAATTACTGTCAAAATATTCAAATTATGAGTATAGCTATAAAATATCAAGTATGTCTATTTTCTAATTAATACACAAATCAAATATTTCCATCTTTTAAACTAAATATTTGTACTTATTTTTTCTTATTAATAAACTTAAAATTAAGCATGTAAAGTTCTATACACAAAAAACAATGGATCCAATCTTTAGATACCACCTTATTTTACTTGCACTTAAGATGGTATTATAAGAGATTAATCTTTCAAATATTTTAAGTGAGATTTATACAAGCTGTAGCTTGAAATCTTATTGCTTACACACACACAAAAAAAAAATTAAGAAAAATTATTCTCATAATTATTAAAAAAATTACCATACTCACAAGATATAAGGTCAAAACTCTTCTTTTCATCAACCACTGTCTTCATTGATCAAAAACAAACCAAAATATATTTCTAATTCAACAACAGATAAAGCAAACTAATAATATGATGAGCAAATATTTGCTCTTAGGAACTAATACTCGTGCCAATTCATTATTGAAATTAATTATAACAAGATAAGAAAATAGTTAAAATGATTAAAAATAAAAAAGGAGATATTATGTCAAAGGGATGAGCTGATTTAGTACTAAAATTCATAAATTGTACTTTACACCGGAT